CAGAGGGGGAGAAGTGGAATGAAGTGCAAGGAACCAGAGACAGGAGGAGGCAAAGGGGGGTAGTTCAGCATCGCCTCATGAGTGTTTTATGAGTCAGATCGCTAAGAATCAACTTCCTCACTAGCTAAGACTCAAGGATAAATGCATTTTCAATTATAACATAAAGATAATAATTTTAAAAAGTAGATTTGCCGTAATGGAAAAGTTATAGACATTTATAGTAACAAAAGAAGCTTTAATAAGACTATACATGCAAAGATAATAAGTCACCACACTCTTTCAGCCAATTTGTGCAGATGGCTATTTGGTCTCTATAATCCTTCCAAGGACTAGTGTGCCTTGGATAGCCCCTGGACCTATGTCTTTTCTCATCTCTTAAAGATGAGCATGRCAGTAACTCCAAACAACTGCCCAGAGGGGCTTCTCTAGCCAAAGGTGTAATGACCTCCTCCTTCCTCTTTTCCTGTTTACCTGCCCTCAGTCTCTGTGACTGGGCACTGAACGTGGGGAATTAGCTCATTTCCTTCCCCCACTCCTTAAAGTTGCTTGATTATTATTTCTATTGTGTTTGCACCTTCCTTCTACCTTCTGAAAACATGCTGGTAAAGCCATATATGGAATGTCGTGAAACATACTAAATACACAGTCTCCTTGCCAGGGCTTAAACTGTCCTCACTCCATACCATACACAAGCTAAGTGAGATTCAAGAATGGATATGGTGGAAGGCAACCTTTGAATATCTGTCTCCAGAGGGAATTCAAGGGGGAGGAAGACTGACTGTGCACTTGCCTAATTTGTTAATCTGCTGACAGAGTCTTTTTTTGCAATGCCAAGTTGTAAATCTCTCTTATTTTTGGCATTCCTGAGTCTGATCATGGAAACGAGATGGCAAGAGGAGTGGTTGGAGGGGACTTGCCTCAGCGCAGGATGAGCAGGTCTTGCTTCCTTCCTCAAGGACAAATTGAACATGTTTAAATACATCAATCAATGATCCAAATGGAAAATGTTTCTGGGAGTAGGGAAGAGTCCCTGTTTTCCTAACTAATGGAGGGCAGTCCTGTTTTGCAAATTCTTCTCTTTTTTTTTTTACCTCTGACTACTATGGCTGAGGCCTCATGAGTAACTTCTAAAAGCTGATGTGCGTCCTCAGCAGCTGAGCTGATGGTAAGACACAGCACAGCCTGGGATACCAAAGTGGCACACCGGAGTAAACACCTGCACTGCATCTGCCTTTATCTTATCTCCCTGTCAAGGTGTGTGAAAGGAATTAGCCAGTAATTTGTGTTGTCAACAACGCCTTCTGGCCTGTTAGCCAAACTGGTGAGCCTGCTGGGAGAGACACTAGTATAAAAGGACTTTGTACTGCGCATCTAGCTCACCTTGTGAAAACAGTGGTGTTTTTCTAACATGGATTTACTTAACTGTTCAGCTGCARATACACTTGCAAGCTCCAAGGCAGTTTAAAATAGTTCCAGGAACAACTTCTTCATCACATTTCCCCAGCAGATTCTCAAGTTACAGATCTTACATCATCAACACTAAGTGTCTCTGGCTGACCACAGTGCAAAACCCAGTCCTTTAGGTTTTGCTGCTTAGGCATTTCTGAGTGTTGTGCATGTGCCACTCCTCCCCAGCTCATGTTTTTGAGGACTTTGTAATTCTCTTTTGCACAATTGGAGGAGCTGAATTCTGGAAAAGCTCTTTTCGGAAGTTTGTTTCTCAGTCTGCTTAAGCAAGGCTGCTTTGATGCTGGCATCTGTTTGACTTCTGTGGTCTTTTGGAGAATAGCTTTTTTTTTTTTTTTTTTCCCCCCTGGATGTGTTCCATTTCCTTCTTATCTGAAAGTATAAAGTATATGACTCCAGCTTTAACAGAAAGACAAACGATTACCTAGCCACTTCAGAGGTGATAAAGGGAGGTCATTTCCTCATCTTCATTTATCTGGCTATAGTTGTCTTCACCAAAGATAATCAGATGTCACTCCTGATGATTAAATAACATTTTTTTGAAAGAGATGCTGTAACTTCCATTCAGGAGAACAAGCAACATATCCTGCATTTCTTACTGGTCCTTCCACACTGGCTTCAGTGGGAAGTTTGGAGAAAGGGACATGCAGGGGGATGCATTTTAAGTCCTTCATAGCTTCAGAGGGAAATGCTGCTCATGCTGATACCCAGCACAAACGGGGCCACACGCTGATTTTGATCCAGTGCCAGTCATGCTAAAGGCCGCACCAGTGGGGTCACATGCATGCAGGTTCAAGACAGCTATAGCATGTGGCCCAAAGCTTTGGGAAAGATTTTCTAGTGTTTTGGGGACCAGCAGTGACTACAGGAAACTGGACTTAAAAGCTGGATGTCTTTGAACGTGGTAAATGCAGTTACTATTTCCTGTTGGTTTCAGGGCAAAATTATCTCACTCCTAATGAGAAGGAGAGGATGACTTTTGAGTCACGTAAAGCAGTGTTGCTGCTCTTGTAAACTGTTAAAGTGGGAAAGGGCTTTAAAGCAGGTATGTGCTAGTCCCAGATTCTTCCAGACCCAAGCCCTCAGCTTGCATGGCCTGAGTTTGCTGATTCTCCTCCCTCATTCTAGATTCAGGACAGTGTAGGAAGTCACCCTACATCCTTATACGGACTGAAAAAAAAAAAAAGAAAAAGAAAAAAAAAGATATTCTTCTCCTGTGTCCATTGAGTGGCTCAGCGAGGAAGGATATGAAAGGAATGTTGGCATTACGAGCTCCGTGGGTCACCTCACACAGACACTAGCAGGAGTGGGTAGTGGTGCAGATGAGCAGTGCGTTATTGTCCACCTAAAGCAAAGGTGGCTCTGAGTTAAAAAAAACACCCTGGGACTACAGCAGAATGTTATTTTCTGTTCAAGACGTAGCCCAGCCCTAAATATTTTATGCACCATTCATGTAGCTTCTCTACTGCATGAACTGCTATGGATTTTGTCCCAAAGAGCTTGTCATATATTGTCTAGGAAAAAAAAAAGTTTTGTTTGTTATGTTTAACAAGACAGGGCTTGTTATGGAAAAAAAAATCCATAAAAAAAACATTTTGAAAAATTACCATGGGAAATAAAATATTTTCGCAAGAAGCTCAGCTCCACAGTGATTCCAGAAGGCCTCATTCTTCTTCTCCAGATAGTGATGAAACGTGACTGATGTAAACTGGGCTGCTTTCCTGTCACAGGCAAGTCACGCAASATCCAACTTCAAAACTTCCAACTAACTTTGAAAAGGTTTTCTTTTAATATCTGACCCATTCAAAAGTTTTCCTAATTAAATCAGTTTACCTTTTGAAACATTGATTAGAAATACTTGTTTTTTCTCTAACAAAACACAATAATGCTTTTTAATATACAGTGGAAATCAATTATCTAGCCTCTGTGCCTGTAACTGAAAGAATATTAGTGTAGCTGCATTTTGTTTTCTTGTGGAGGAAGAAGAACTAATTGTTTTTTAAATGAAATGTTAAGTAGCATAGTTTACCGAGAAGTATAACCACAGACTGGTTTGATGTGTGTTGCACAGCTGGAATTAGAAACACACACAAAAAAGAAAAAAATTAGAAACCACAGAGCTATTAAGCTGAGACAGGAGAGTAACAATGAAATTGGCCTGGCTTTTCTTTTTCCACTTACAGATACTATTCACTTGGATAAACACTGCAGTCTTTGCAAGTAAATAAACTTTTTTTTTTGAACAAACAAAACAACAATAAAAAAGAAACAGAAGGAAATAGGAAAAACCTAAACTAAACAAAAGAGTGAGAACATAATGATCATTAAGTACGTGTTTTCAAACAAAAATGCTGTTAATTAAGGGCAACGCCCAGCAGCAGGAATCTGGGAAAGATGTTGAAACAAGAAATAAGTATCATATCCTCAAAGTTTAATTAATTTATTTGGACAACACCCAAATATACATGAGGGGAAAAAAAAACACAAAAAGGAACATTAAATAKCTGAAGGAAGAAAATGGTAAAAGTGAGCGTTTCTAAAACTCACAAATGTGGTATTTGCAGAAATGCTAAAAATAATGTTTTCTTCCTTAGAAGCTCTCAGTAGAAGCTGAGAGGCTAGGAGGCAAACAAAGGTTTTGCTTTTACGTGCTTGAATAAAAAGGCTCTTTGGAAGCATCTGTGGTGGCCGCGCGCCACGGCTGCCTCGCCATGCGGCACACAGCAGTGTCGTGGCAGAAGGCTCAGGAAAGCAGCTCCTCTTTGCCCAAAGCACTTGTTTCACCCATGCACTTTGACTGCCAGGATCAACCCAGTCCTGCCCATACCCCAGGAGACCCTTTCCCATTGGTTTGGCAGTGCCTCCGAGCCAGTTTTGCAGCTGGAAATGGGAGCAGAGCAACCTGAGAGCAGTAGTGCAGTGAGATGCTCCTGGCAGGATGACTCCCTGCCAGGTCTACTGAGAAAAAAAAAGAAAAAAAAAAGAAAAAAAAAAGAAAAAA